TGTCACCTAAAGTACACCCTCTCTCTTAATTCAATCATAAACGCATTATTTATAATAACAAATAGACAAAATTGTAGAGTCTGGGCAATTATTTCATATGATAATTATTCTCTGTACATTAAATGTTCTAGAGTATTATAGGTTTGCGGGAAGTGAAGACAGAAGGAGGCATAAAGTCTTTCCGCGGTGCCACAAATGTAAACGAAGACAGTCACCTGTTGCTGACGGCTGGCTTCGAGGGGAGTTCGAAAAAATGAAAACTCTCGATATTCTGTGGCACCGAGGGTTATTTGAGACATTTCAGACACAACCGTAGCGGAATTCTCTGGAGTTTTCTGTTGCACCCCTGTATACTTGTATATTCTTAATGCTGATACGAGAGAAATCGATCTAGGAATGTCCGTTTTAGGATTTATGAAACGGCTAAGTCCACATTGTCCAAACTTCGTATGTAGACTCTTCTTATCCCTAGGCAACACGAGTTCATTTCTTTTCCCATCCGCCCACCCGCATTAGAATTTCGTCAATACTGCCCATAATTCCAAAGCAACATACTACTTGTATAAACCAAACATTGCACATATAATTAATATTTACATTTTACTTAAATGTCAGTTAATGTCAATGCAAAATTAAACATACAAGTACTAAGTATGTATATACTGTACATACTCGTAGAATATATCATAGTAATAAAGATGGAATTCAGTGCCATAGATGGTAGGAAATGTGTAGGATTTTCGTATGTTATTTTGTAGTTATTGGCAGAGTCGACAGAAATCGATCGATTTATATCAAAACATCGAAGATATAACATAACACATTTGCTAAAATGAACATGAAAATAATGCTAAAGTCGAGCAAGCTCAACTCTTAAATACCCTGTACCTCCCACCAAAAAGGGAAAAATAAAAAAAATTTTTTTTATACCCTGTACCCGTAGGGTAAAAAGTGTATATTAGGTTTGTGCAAAGTATGTAACATACAGAAGGAAGCATCTCCGACCCCATAAAGTATATATTCTTGATCAGCATGACGAGAGAAATCGATCTAGACATGTCCGTCCGTCTGTCCGTCCGTCTGGATGAACGCGAGGATCTCAGAAACTATAAAAGCTAGAATAACCAAAGTTGGCATCCTGATTCTCCTAGGTCCGAGTAAGGACGAGTTTATTTTTTTTTTAATTTTCACCCCCTTCCCCCGCTGCAGAATTTCGTCAATAGCGTCCACATTTCAAATGCTACCTAAACCAAACTTTGCACACATAATTAATATATAATTGTCTACTGTTGTTCAGCAGCGATTTTATTTATGGCTATAACTTTCTTCAGAATTGACCTATCATGATGAAACTTGGCATACAGACACATAATCGCTAACGGGATGTAGCTACCTAATTTTAATTCGAAATTCCAAGAACTACGGGAGTTGTGGAAAAAATCACGAATTGCGGGGGAGTGGGGGGTGTATCAAAATAAAAAAATAAACTTGACCTGCCTAGGGCTTATGGGAATCTGGATACCGAGTTATTCTAGCTCTTGTACCTTCTGAGATCCTTGCGCTCATACAGACGGACGGACATGGCTATATCGACTAGTCTTGTCACCCTGATCAAGACTATATATACTTTGTGGGGTCTGCCACGCCTCCTTCTGTGAGTTACATACATTCGCACAAAACTAGTATAGCCTTTTACCCTTTGGAAACAGGCTATAAAAATAAGTCAAAGCAGCAACAACAACTACAGCTGCCGGCAGAGCTTCGGCGGAGATTATGTTTATGGCTATAACTTTCTTCATAATTGATTATTTGGATTATTTTTTTATTACTATTGCACATATTGGATCACATTGCACATTAGATGTGATAACGACAAATATCAATTGAATTACTGAATGTTATGAGCAAAGGAGCAGTCGCACGTGAGATTGAATGTTTCTCTGATAGGGATAGTGAAATAGAGATCAAAATTATGTATTAAGTTAGGCATGTTCGGCCTAATTTTCAAACGCACCCACTACACCTATAGAAGTTAATGATTTCCATCTATCTTCGAGCATGCAATTAGATAGTGAGATCTCCAGTTGCTCAATTATTTCCTACACTCATTAGAGAACTAAAGTTCTAAGTCGTAGGGCACTCAGCTTCTAGTCATGCCGCTAAGTACATAAATGGACAATTGTATTAAGTGTGCTAAGTGGCCACAATGTGGGTATATGGAGGAGTGGGTAACAGCTACAACAGCTACAACAACTACAACCACAGCCAGAGAAATGCATAACATGGATATTACACAAAGCCCTCAAGCTGTCGAAGCAAACTTTTTGCAGTAGTTGTGGCAATTGTTGCAACTGTCGCTCTTGCTGCTTGGCCATTATGACATTCTCCCGAGGTTGCCTGCAGTCTCTGAAGGATAATTGTCCATGGGGTATCCCTTACTTGCCACGCAGCTTGTCATGCATGTTCATTGTGGCAAGGCTGCATACACGTGCAGCGGGAAGCAGGGCGGGGAAGTGGCAAGCTGTTTGCCTTGTCATTGGGTTGTAGCTGTCAAGGCGCACTTTGGATTACGGCGGAAGAGGAACCTTGGGGGAGTAAGTGTTTGATTGTGTGGGATGCATGCGATTGGACAGACAAGGTCTAGCATTTGACTAATCGATGCTTTGAAATCCTAGTCTGTAGTCCCGCACACAGAACTGCTTCAAAACTATAGATAATTTTGAATAAACTGCCAGCACGGATCACAACATTACAACTTGACCCATATGTACATTTACAATTTTCGTTATGTTGCTTACTTTTGTATCCAGTACCCTAAGGGTAACATATAGTAGAAGGAGACGTGGCGAGCCCCACAGAGTATGTGAATATGTTCTTCATCAGAATCCTTCTGAGAACGATCCCGTAAAGTATATGTATGCTATAGAAACAGTACTTAATCATATAGTATGTCTTCGTTGAATTACTAATTTAATAAATACAAGAGAGAACGCTACAGTTGAGCAAGCACGACAGTGAAATACCCTGTACCCAGCCAAATTTCCTGCACTAGGCTATATACGCCCATAGCAGAAACAAAAAGAAGAAGAAGATCGAACTTGATGCTGCAGTTCTTGGGCGAAGTACTGCAGTGAAATTGTTATCCTAACAACTTTTCTTAGATTTGACCGATTTGGATTTAATTTGAAAATAAAGTAGATAGTTGTATATAGATTGCTTTGCAATGTTCTGTAACATATTCAGGGGGAATCCAAAAAATAAAATAAACTCGTATAGACTAGGGACTAGGAGCGTCCACATACCAAGTTTGGTTAATAAGCGCTCAGCTGTTTCCGAAACCCAGATGTTCATCCAGACAGACGGACGGACATGTCTAGGTCGATTTACCTCGTTATGCTGAAGAATATATATAGTATACTATATGGGGCGCAGATGCTTCCTTTTCACCGTTACATACTTTGCACAAACCTAATATACCCTTCGGGTATAGGGTATATGAAATCGTATTTCATTTCATACAAAACTTAATTCGAACTTCATATAAAGAATTATATGTGACTTTTCATGATATGCTCAACTTATTGGATTAATTAACTTAAATGAATTAAATTCGATATAATTAAATGAACTTAAATAAAATGAAACCAATGATTTTAAGTGGGATACGTAAAATTTTGCTTAAATACATATGCAATAAAGGGCATATTTAAGCTCTTTTGCCGTCTCAAACTGCCTGCAATTCTTGAACACCTCAGCGGATAGAATACCCCAGAGATCCTCAATTGGATAAAGGTCCGGACTCATTGCTGGCCACTTTGAATCCGCAATATATTTCTCATCCAATTATTCGGTGGTCAGCTTTGCACTATGTATTGGCGCATTATCCTCCTCGCCTTATAACTGACTGCCAAACTCCACCAACTCGTCGTCCAATAGCTATACATACATTTTGTCATTCATTCTTGTCGATTCAAAACACATTGGGCTCCTTCCTTTATAAGAATTCCTCCTGCCAGGATTGGTATCTGTGTGCAAGCCGATACGTGCCTTCATATGGCGAGGTAAAAGCTTGGGTTTAGGTACCATGGTAGAATGTGTAAGATTTGGCTTTTCACGGATTATTTGAATGAATCTACTCCTTGTTTCATTGAGCCCCAATTGAGTTTTAATCGGTCCACTGCTCATTGAATCCACAGCTGCAAGTCGATGGACGTTTGCATCGGGTGTCAATACCAGTTTTACGTCCGCTGCGTGGATTTTTGGATTTTTGAGGAATTTAGGAATTTTAACATTTAACACATGGGAACCGCTTCCATGCATTTCAATGATTAATCCTTGCTCATACTCCGAAAGGCTAGTTCCACGAGGCATTTTGCACAGTCTAATTCCACAATACGTAACACGAATTTGTTTTTGACAGATATAGTAAAGAGGTTAGAGGTATTTTGGGGCGCTCTTTGATGCATTATAATAAAAAATTGGGCAAAGCATTTGCATCAAATTTTGTGTGAAAAATGGAATCAAGTGGTCTACAACACTTAACACGTTAAGTTGGTGAGTCTGCTCTTAATAAAAACAAAATTTTAGAAGTGGTACAAACTCTTCCATGAATGCCGAATGCCAGGTGCCGAATACGAATTTCTCCCTGGTCGCCCCAACACATCATCGAATAAGCATAAGAGAAGTTGGTGAGGATGTTGGCATATCAGTCGGCTGAGGGGTATGTCAGCGAAGTTACATAGTTCCGAAACGTCTAAGCCAAAGCCCCATCGTGAAGATGGAAGCACCCAAGACAGCCAAGACCGAACAAGTAGATAATCGAAGAGCGCACCAAAATACATCTCACCTTTTTCAATGTCAAAAACAAACCAAGTATGCTATGTACTTGAAACTTTGAACATAAGTTCGGGACATGCCTGCCAACACAACAGCAAATTTATAATCGAGTGTAAGTTACTTGCGAAAATTGAAAAGTCACCTTACTTTTTGAACACACCACGTATTTAAGGAATGTATGTATAATCACATTTTTATTTAAAACGTTTTAAAACCAAAGAATAGTTTGTCTCACATATATGTAATTCTTTTACTGTGGAACATAGAAAATAACGCATGTGCCCTAATTTGTGCAACGTTCCAATCTCAGTAGAACATCACTTTTGGGTGTCATCACTCCACTGAGCGGTGCAAATTCTATGTTCTCGATTGTCTTCTCGCATTGGATCACGCGATGATTGCGCAATAGGTGCACCAGACCCAGCTTCGTTTGCAACAATCCCAAGCGCATGCCAATGCAATTATGGGGTCCGATGCCGAACGGCATGTAAGCATCCATGTTCAAGTTCTTACGACTCTCAGAGGCCCAGCGGTCGGGATCATACTTATCCGGTTCGGGCCAATACTGTATGGGGGGCAGCGTGTGAGAAAATTATACACTTAGGGGCCAGGCAAAACGTACCTGTTCATCTCTGTGTATGCCTAGCGTCGACACGTAGATGGGGGTGCCGTTGGGAAGCTCCAGGTCGTAGTGCGGGGCCAGGGAGAAGCGTTTTCCCTCTGTTGGTTGTGTACACTGACGCTCGGCATAGCCGACTATGGGATATTTGCGGAGTGTTTCGTTGACCACCTGCGTCAAAAAGGGCATCTCTTGGATGCGTTCATAACTGATGGACTGCTCCTCGCCAAAGTATTCCAGAATTTCCTCTCGCAGCCTATCTTGTATATTCAGATTCAATGCCAACTCGTGTAACGTCAGAGTCATGGTCGACGAGGAGGTCTCGAAGCCGGCCGTTTGGAAGATGGCTGCCTGAGCCACCAAGAAGTCATTTAAGACATCCCCAGTTTTTCCCTTTTCCGGTTCCAGGTTCGCCTCACGTTTCATTCTTAGCAAGGTATCAATGAGATCATTGCGTTGCTCCCCAGACCTCTCACGCTCTTCCAGAACATGGTTGATGCTTCGCTTTATGAAATTCGAGGTTTGCTTCGAGAAGACCTTGACGCGAGCTAACGACACCAGCGAGGGCAGCAAAAAGATGATCGTAACGTCCACGCCCCGTCGCCAGTTTATATCAAAAATTGCCTTGCTGGACTCAAAGAACTCGCTCTTCAGCTCACTCAATGCGTTGGCTCTGACCCCAAAGGCAATGGTACCAATGAGGTCGGTGGTGAAACGGGCACACAAGTCTTTGATCTTTACGACCGAATTAACTGGAACTTTGGTTAAGCTTTTCTCCAAATCTTGGCCAATCTGCAAGGGGTTTCTTGGTCAGCTATATTCATCGGAATGTTGGAATAGGTACTTACTGCCACCATCAGCGGATACATTTGCTTTATCTTGCCACTGCTGAACACGGGAGAAAGCTTCGTACGCAGCTCCTTCCACTCCGGGTTGCGTATAAAGAACAAATTATTGTACCCCAATGGGTCATGGTGAGGATCTGCTTGCAGCACCCGATTTGAGAAACAGCTGAACTCCTTTATCATTATCCGCTTAATCAAGTCCAGATCGCGAATGAGCAGACCGGGTCGCTGCATTAAATATACACCCACAAGAGGCTCTTGCTCGTAGCCGGGCGAGGTGTGCAGTTTGTAGATCTGGTGGAAAAACGACACCTTGCCGGTAAGCAATTCCCGCACATTTCCAAAGAAGGGTGATGGCGTTATATATTTGATGCCCAGCTTCTGCCAATAACTGTACTTTCGACGTTGCCAAATATAAAACGCAACGGCCGCCGTAGCGATCAAAAGAAACAAATCCGTCGACATATTTGTGAGAACTGTAAAGATTTTGATAGCATCGAATTGCCTTTATACCCTCACTTGGCCTCTCACGGGCCTTTTAATCGGTGTTGATAACACCGAACACCGTTCTAATGTGTATGTTTTGCTTTCGCACAACAAACCTGTAATTTTGCTTTGTTCGAATGAGTTGACACAAATTCTACAGCGTCATTCGTAGTAGTCTATTTAAAAAGCGGCAAGAGCCAATTTCGTTTTGTTTAGCGCCTAACTCGCTTATCACGTTCACTAGCTGCGTCCTGACCTATCTCAATAAGGTTCGTCAGGGTTATTACTGATTGGCAATTCACATAACTGATATGTGAGTATGACCGGTACCCAAGAGATCGGTCTCCTGTCCGTCTCTACTTAGATTTTTATACCCTGTATCCGTAGGGTAAAAAGGGTATATTAGGTTTGTGCAAAGTATATAACATACAGAAGGAAGCATCTCCGACCCCATAAAGCATATATATTCTTGATCAGCATGACGAGAGAAATCGATCTAGACATGTCCGTCCGTCTGTCCGTCCGTCTGGATGAACGCGAGGATCTCAGAAACTATAAAAGCTAGAATAACCAAAGTTGGCTTCTAGATTCTCCTAGGTCCGAGTAAGGACGAGTTTATTTATTTTTTTTTAATTTTCCCCCCCTTCCCCGGTTGCAGAATTTCGTCAATAGCGTCCACATTTCAAATGCTACCTAAACCAAACTTTGCACACATAATTTATAAATAATTATCTACTTTTGTTTAAAATTTTATTTAATTCTGTCAATTCTAAGAAAAGTTATTAGCGAAACAAATTCTCGCCAGTACAACCCCCACAAACTGCAGCAACAACTTCGCTCTTCTTCTTCCTCTTTTTGCTGCTGCTATGGGCGCATATAACTCAGTGACGGAAGTTTACCTGGGTACAGGGAATTACACTGTCGGGCTTGCTCGAGTGTAGCGTTCTCTCTTGTTGAAATTTTATTCTTACGACTCCAGCCACCAATGTGGAAACAAGTTTTTTAAAATAAATATAAATTTATAAAAATTTGAGCTTTTAAAGATATTTCCGTACTGGAAAAGATCAGTACGGGCAAAGAATTATTATTTTATTATTTGTTTTTATGCCAATCACTGACAAAATCATATCACAATACCACAAAGCTGTCAAAGAAACGATAGATTTTCAAGAGGGTTCCAATTTTTGTTTATTTGGTAAAATATAAATATTATCAATATTCTTGTCGTGTTTCGTGGTATGTATTTTCATAGTTTTCTATCACTCCGGGGTCGCAAAAGGTGACCATTGATGAACAATGAAAAATAATTAAACAATAATAGAATGTTAGAGTCGAGCTTTACTAGCACTAATCAAAATTAATTAAATAAAAATTCCAATAATTACCAGAATCACTAATAGTGTCACAATTTAGAGTCTCTAACTCTTATAGTCTCTCAGATCTAGGTGTTCATATGGACGGACGGATGGCAGACCGACATAGCTAATTCGCAGAAGTCCCCCCCACCGTATAAGTCTTATTTTAAAAAATAGTTCATTTTTAAATGGGTTCTTCGAATAATCGGGCACTCATGACTCTCCTGTCTATTTCATTTTCAGTCACCTTTTCAAATTTCGCAAAATGCATTTGAGCCTTAATTATTTTGAATCGATTAAGAAAGTCGAATTTAAAGTCTATCATGAAAAACAAAGCAAGTATAATTATATGTTGCATATTTTGAAATAATTAATGAAAGTCTTAATAGTTAGTGGCTTATAAGAAACGGTTTCAAAATATTTCAAATCTGAGTCACAATTATTGCAGATGGCTTGATAAAGGCGATAAATATTTCAAATGGCCGACCGAATCCTGACTGTAAACCTATCTGTCCCATTTACTTGTACTTTATAATTTCTTTAGGTAGACTTATATATACAGACATATGTCTTTACGGAATGGATATGCATATGATTAGAGCGAATTGTGAGTGAAAAGTTTGAATTTTAACGCTAACAACTGCTGTTATGCAAATCACAGTTGGGAAAATCGCACACACTCAAGCACACAGCACATTTAAATGAAATCGTTTGAATTCACCTTAAATGTCCTTGGAGTGAAATTGCAAAAGGCGCACTACTGTGCATTGTCACCGAACTGCATAGTTAGAACTTTTTGCTTTTTAGCATAACAACGCCACCATAATCCACTCGCACTGAACGGATGATGATGCCACTTGATTTTCTTTGCCACCATTGTTGCTGTTGCTGCTGCTGTTACTTCAATTTCTGCTGCACTTTGTCGTTGAGAGTTCCCGTTCGAAAACCTAGAGGAGCAATTGGTAACACGCGCATGTTTGTCGATAATGCACTCACGTCACGTTCTTTTCTGGGTGAAAGATGCACGGAGAACATACATATGTATTCAAAAATAACTATTTTATGAATCCCTAAGTATTGAAAATAAAAAAATGAGAAATGCGATCCTGCCAGGAGTCGAACCTGGAATCTTCTGATCCGTAGTCAGACGCGTTATCCATTGCGCCACAGGACCGGTTGATTTCACGGTGCCGAAACACCAAAACTTAATAGCAAGCAGTTGGCATTGTCAACTGCGCTATCGACGGTGGTAACAGAGCGCGGAAGCGAAACAGCTTTATTTCTATGTGTAGTTTCTAAACAAAAACTATCTATATTTTTATTACAAACAACAACAAAAATAGCATGAAAAGTTAGCTTATAAATATGGCATATTTTGGGCTGCTTACATTTCTTTATTATCCTATCATTCCAAAAATATCAAAATTCTTTACAAGCCTTCATATTTGCAACGCTGCAGCAACCCTATAGACCCAGCAACGCTCTGCCCCAAACGCCAGCGTCAACGTCAACAATTCAGTCTCTCTTTGGCGCTCGAAGCGTGCACGACGACAACAACGCGTTCGTTCCCAAGTTATTACGTTTGCGGCATAGCGACGCGGCAAAAGCAAACGCAAAGAAAAACGAAAAATAATAAAAGTCTCTCCTAGAAGAGCAAACAACAAAAAAATACTTAATTGTTTATAACAAAAAAGAAGAAGTGCTACTTGTGCGTGTTTTCTCGTCTGTGTGTGTAATAACAATTAATAAAAAACCATTTGGGCTAAACAATATACAACATACATATACACTTCGTTGCAGAACGCAACTAAATCAGCAGTGTCGGTAAGTGCATCAGCTAAATGCAATTTGAAAAGTACCCCCCTCCCAATTGTAAAAAACCAAAACACACACACACTCTTAAAAAATTCAGTCTGTTTGTGTGCCCTTTGCTTATTGGTTTTGGTTGTGCTTTTGCGTTTTCTACTACTTGCCTATTCTGTTTTTCACATACTTTTTGTTTTCATCGTCTGTTTCTGCAGTCAGTCAGCCCCAAAACCGAAAAGAACGCGCAAAGCACAAAAGCAAAAGAACGCAAAGATTGGACGTCGCCGTCGTCTTCGTCGTCATTGTTGTTGTTTGTTTAGCTGTCGTTTCTCCATTTACATATGTATGTACATACATGTACATATAGTTTTGTGCATGTGTGTACGCCGCTCTCTCGCTCTCTGTCTCCCTCTCTGTATCATTTCTGCGGCCTATTGTGGCGTTCGGCGTGTATATGTGTTTGTAGGCCTCCACAGGCAGCGCCAGCGCCAACCGACAGACGCCGCCACTGTTAACTCGTTTAGCAAGTTGTTGCTGTTATTGAGTTTGCTGCGCTGCCTCTGCCTCCGTCTCTGTCACGGCTGCAGCCGTCAACGTCGGCGCACTTAACAATAAAACGCTGTGGCACATAAAAATAGTCTGGTAAAATTGTTGACTTCCCTTTTGCTAAACGTGCCGGCCCCACAAACTACTTACACATGTAGCTATGCATACCCACAATGTATCTACCATAAACAAATACTTATGTACGTATGTATGTGCATTTATATAAGTATGTATGTACGTACATTTGTATGCATAATCCGTGCAGCAATAGGTACTTACGTGTACGTACATCATCTACATACCATACATACATACATATGTACATAGTACACATACGAGTATACAAGTATTGTGTAGAAGATGTCGGTATTTAAGAATTCGGATACATATTTTTAGTTAGAGTTACAACTAAAGGGGAGGGAAAATACATACCGTCCGAAATTTGATAAACAGTGATGAAGTGTGTACATACATACTTACATGCAAACACAATTGTACTTAGAGTACAGAAATATCCCTAAAAGTAAGATTCAATATTTTGGCCGATTTCAAATCTCTTCATAAATAAGTACATACAAGTATGTATATACATTGTAGCACCATTCATAGGTGACGCAAGCAAATGTAGAACTGAGGACTTGTGTTATTTTTTGTGGAATTCAGGATTCCAAATAACTAAACTTAAGTCCAATACCAAACACATCTGTATAAGGAAAAATTGAACTTATTAGTATCCCCTGAGACGGAACATTCTATTCATCCACATACATATAGTATATTGGAAAACCCAAAAATATGGCTTTCAAAATTTAAAACATTTTGTCATTTTGTCACCCCCACTCTAATACATATACAAGTACATAGACCTGTGTTTGTTTCAGATGGCAGTTCTTATCATAGCTTGCTGTAGTACCACATCCTTCAAAACATGCTAGTTGTATAGGCTATATATATAGTAAAAGGATATACCATTACAATTAGAATTCATTGTAACAGAACGAGGCTCGATTTTGTTGGTACATACACAAGGGCGTAGGCAGGACGGGGCAAGGGGGGGAATGGATCCGAGTTGGATTTGTTGAAGTTTTTTCATTGATCATATGCATAAGGTTTTTTTTTAAAAGCATCGTGCATCCCCCCCCCCCCCCCCCCCCCTTTGGTAAAAGCTGCCTACGCCCTTGTACATATATACATATGTATATGATGGGCCAAACACCCAGAACACCCAGAACACCGTAGAACTGTTGTAATCACTGCTTGTTCCAACCAATTTTTTCAACC